ATCTTGAGAAATTTTTCGAACAATGTTCTCTGATTTTTTGATAGAGAGTTGAGTGCTTGAAAGGCGGAGAAAGGATAGTCATTTCCTGCGACGAGTGGAACGAATTGCTCCAGTGAGAATGTTAGGCGAAGTTTATTTACAATTAGGTTTTACTGAAATTTTTATAAGAGAATATACTTATGTGATAAATATAAAAATGTCTAGACTCAGATTGCAAAAATATATTTTTTCAAATTTCAAAGATTTTAGATATTTGATATCGTGCTTCTTCTTCTTGTGTCTTCCATTTCATCTTAATAAATTATTAAACTTTAAGCTAGAGAAATTTTGTTACACACTGTACCACAATATTTAGTAAAATAAATTAATTACAAATTGAGTTGCCAATGGTATCATTTTTTTTATAACAAATAGATTTAAAGTAATTTTTAAAAAAGTGGTAAACTTAGCATGATGCCAGCTTACGAAGGACCTTCCCTTTTTATTGTCTTCCATTTTATCATGATAAATTATTAAACCATAAGTCAAAGAAATTTTATCACATATTATAAATAATATTTTGTAAAATAAGTTAATTATGAATATAGTAATTTCTTTGATGACAAACAGCTTCTAAATAATTTAACCTACAAAGGAGTTTCCCTTTCTATTGTCTTCCATTTTATCATGATAAATTATTAAACCATAAGTCAAAGAAATTTTATCACATATTATAAATAATACTTTGTAAAATAAGTTAATTATGAATATAGTAATTTCTTTGATGACAAATAGCTTCTAAACTCTTCGTGCAAAATAATAAACAAAAGTGCTATTTGGCAAAATTACGATTCAAAATTATTAGGAAATGAAGATTACGATTAAATTCTCATTCTAAATTCTCCTTTACTATACAAAAAAATTCTCCTCCAAAACGAAGCATTCCCTCTTCGTCATTATTAATCCTCTCCTCAATCTCCATTACTCATTATGTCAATAACATCACATTACTACAATATTGAAGTACCCCAGCAAGGATTCATCGGTGAAATATCGTGTAAAAGCGTAGACGTAATACAAATATGTGTTTAAGTAATTCGTTTTCGTCCTTGATAAGAATGAGTATGCGAAAAAAGGAAGGACAAATAAGTGTCTTATATCTATATACCTACCTACACATATTATTCGTAAGAATTCACTAAGAGTAAATCGCGAGGGATTTAGCAGAATCCTTGACGCCTGACAGTCTTGAATGGCGAATGTGACAGGTTAATAACTTCTTCCAGAGAAAGCAAAAGATCGGCGGAGGACTCGAAGAAACAAATTCGTGACATCGTGCGCCATGTAAGAATGTGTATACCAGCTCGTGCTAACGAGTCGGTAACGCTTAATTGTCTGAGATTAATCAATTTGCCTGTACCGCTATCAGATCCATAATTATAGCGTCGGGTTTAAGCTCTAATTATAAAACAATCTATCGTGTCTTTGACGATGATCGAGCAGGATACTCGGTTCAATGGATATCGCAGCGGTTACGGGATTAAAATCAGACACAGCTGACAAAAACGACATTTCGACCGGTTTCAGCGCTATCGTTGTGAATTACTAAAGAATCAAAAGAGGAGAATTTCTTTCAGGATTTATAAAGGAAGTTCAATGTCAAAGATGGTTGTAAAAAGAAGTGCTCGAGAAAAGAAAGAGTGCTGTACGATGGTCACGATGCTTTTTTGTTAGTTTGCTTTGTGCTGTTCATTTCTATGAGAAGCTATTCTTTTTGTTTGTTTGTATCGTACGATTAATATAATTAGAAAATAAAAATTACGGTATTATTTTCAAAGGTTCTTCGTATGTAGTCCTTGGTTAATTACAAAAATAATATTATTGTCGTGAATTTGTTGGTGATAGACAGAAAATTCTTAATTTTTATATTGTAGGATTGTTAATTTAAGGAGAAACATATTATCGGAAAATCGAAAGAATACGGTAAGCTATTTTGTTCGTTTGTATTGCACAATACAATTAGAAAATAAATATTACTGTATTATTTTCAGAGGTTCTTCATATGTAGTCCTTAGTTAATTGCTGTGAATTTGTTGGTATGAGAAGCAAAGTTCTTAATTTTTATATTGTAGGATTGTTAATTTAGGGGAAAAGGAAGTATTTCTGGAAAGTCGTGAGAGTGTGGTAATTATTGAGGATAATTATACGAAGAGAATTTTCTACAACTGTATTTTAAGTGTAGTGTAACGTTATTGTACCTGGACTAAGTTTAGACGTGGTTGCTTGTTGTTTAGTTTATCGTCCTTCCTGTACGACTTCTCGTATACGACTACTCTGGCAGAGTGTCGAGAAGGCCTGTTCCAAAACATTGTACTAGGTGTCGTTATTATTTACTTGGCAGTTACCTTCTCAACACTAACGCTGGTTTTAATTACACAAGGTGTTTTGTAATAATCGAAGGAATTTTACGAGGCAATTCTACGTAATGCTTTGACAAGATTTACTTAAGAATTTTTTAGGTGAATTTTATAATGATAGTAACTGAAAAATGAAGATTTAATCGTGATTGTGTCACTCACGATTTTTTTTTTCAGTTTGTCTCGTGGAATCGTCCCTTTAAATTTCTGCCACCTGTTGCTCAACACCTTATGCAATAATCTCAAATATTCGAAACGTGGGTATTAATGAATACAAATTTTAATTTGCTAAAGAAATATAAGAAGTGACAAGTATACACATTTTTCTTTTTAAATTCCAGCTTTTATAGTTAGTCATTTCGAGGAATTTTAAAAGAGAACGCTTTTTATTAACAAACGTATATTTGAAGAAAGAAAAATTTTAGGAAGGACGCTTTATTAAGGATCATAAGGTTATAAAAAGGAAAATATGAAGAAAGGGCGCTTTTTATTAACGACCATAAATTTAAGGAAAAGATACTTTTCAAATCCCAAGAATTCGAATAAAAAATTTGTCATTTTAAAAATAATGTAAGTTCCTCGGTAATTTAATTTCACACATTTTCCCATTATTCTCCCTACGCTTCCCGAAAATTTCGCGAAACCTCCTCACCACCAATCAACATAAAATCAACATTAACCTCTCCCTCCTCAACTTCGCCCTTTCACTCCGTCAACATCACCGAGCCCGTGCGCATTTTCACAAACGCGCTCAGCTCACGAACACAAACCGGGGTGCGGAAATAGAAAAACACCTTTCGAGAAGGGACAACTTTTCCATCGAATCGTCCACGTGAAAAAGACAATAAAAACGAGCCGGTCGTCGAACACCGATTACGAATAACTTCACGTTCACAGCGGGGAATGCTTGCCCCGGGGATAAGAAGAGAGAGTTTCTTAGCGACGAAGAAAAAGGGGGAGAAAGTGCGGACAAGAGGATCCAGAGAGGGGTGTAGGGTCGGATTCTAGCTTAGAGGGGTCATTATAGAGCTCTCCTAACCGGCGTAGCGCCGTCTCCACGCCGCCGATGCCAGAGACTGTCCGGATTGACTGATGTCAGGTCATTCAAAGAGCTTCCTAGAGAGACCTCCTCTCTTTCGTTGCCTCATCGACGTGGTGGCGACGTACAAGTCGAGAGAGGAGGCTCGAGACTCTTTCCAACGATATTGCCGCGACGTATATCTCGATACGCCTCATTACGCCAACGACTTTCAAAAGCAATTAAAACTGGCACGTTCAAGCTTATATTCTCGCCCGTGGTACGGCCATTCTTTGCCGTTGGTCATTTGCTCGAGTTTCGCGATTGCGTGATTTCAACAGCCCACGCATTTTTTCGCCAACAGCTTTGATGGTTTTACCTCGGCCGTTTTTCTTTAGGACAGAGAGCGCAACAACGCGGAGAGAAATCTAACCGGTGAAATCGGAACGAGGGGGAAGCAATTAAAAGCGTAACCTACGTTCTACTCCTTCCTTTTAATTATGATCGCGAACAGTGGTTGGGATCGAGGAAGCTTTGTAACGAGAGTTGATAGATAATGTGGCGGTGCTTTGGAAATTGGAGCATTTTGCGTGTTCGATAAGGAATATGAAGAGTTGTGGTGATTAGGGTTCTTGCAGATATGAAAAATATTTCAATCGTTAATTTCGATGTAATGCTTGGAATTGAATAAAAGAGACGACGAGAATTTTTCACTTGTGCAATTTGGGATTATTGTAAATATGAAATTCAATGGAATATGACGAAAGTTTTAGGAAATGGTTAATTTTAATAGAAGAAGTATGAGCACTTGCTAATTCCGTTTGGAATTGAATAATGGAGAAGGAATAAGAGAGTAGTGTATCGAAATTAATTTATTTTAAAAAAACTACATTATGTTCCTAAGAATATCCAGTAAATTTTGTTTGCTTCACAAAACAAGTCATCCTTGCATTTTTATTTAATTAATAATGACTACTAATGCTCGTTAAATAAATTTATTCAAACGTTAATTTCAATATAATGTTTGGAATTGAATAAAAAAGTGGTGCATTAAAATAAATTTTTCGTTTTAACAAAACTATTTTATGTTTTCAAGAATAACCAGTAAATTTCCTTTTCTTAATAAAATACCTCATTCGTGTATTTCATTTAATTAATACTAACCACTAATACTCGCTAAATAAATCTGTTTAAATTATACACTTATCTCACGTATATTCGTTGCTTCAAAAAATCCGCAAAACGTACTCAACACCTATTCCGAAACTGTAAATAAATCCGAACTCGTAATCGAAAACTTCCTTCCACGATACAATTGACACAAAATGAAAAAAAGAACAATCTAATTTCTCGCAACGATTCATCGCTAAAAACGCTAACCTCGATTGGTTCACCTCTCGTCATCGCGGTGCAAAGTTTTCCCAGCGCCTGTGGCGCTTCTTATGAAACCTCGCAAACACAAAGCGCTGCATTTGCCATGCTGAATGTGGCAACCGTCATTTGCGAAATTTACTTTTAGAAGAACGAAAAAAAGAGGGAAAAAACGAACAATCGAACGGAGAAAGAAAAGAGAGAGAGCCACTCACCTGTGCGTATTCTGCGCAAATGTCGATCGACGACACGTAATTAACGACGTCCTCGATGGTCCATCGATTGACAGCCTGTCCATCGCCGCAGGGCATGTGTCCACATAAAGATGGACACCTGACTGGGGGTGGTGTGGTGGGTCGAGGGGTTGGTTTCGGTTTTGGAGAAACGCTTCCCGCTCTCCTGGTCTCCGCCCTTTGCCTTTTGCGAGGAGCGAAGCCGCCTGGACTCGAGAGATCCAGGGGACTCGTCACTCCGGCGTCTCTTTTGTTGGCACCTGAATTCGAGAGATCGGTTAGTTTTTAATACTCGACACTTGCAGGGAGTAATCAGCGATAGTGGTGAAATTTCGGTGTATGGTAGTACTCGGAAAAATATTTGACGGGTATTCTTTTTTATTGGCAATTGTCCGCGTTGAGAGGGTGAAAATGGGGTGGAAATATGTTTCGAAAATTATTAGAGATCAATTTTGGGACTAACGCGTTGGAAAAATGTTGCCAACTGAAGAGAAAGATTAATTAATAAATTTCACGAATTTTCACGTTTAAACGTCAGATTTTTCAAGGAGGAGTGCAAATTTTCTTTATCAATGCAAACAAACATAACCATTAAATTTCCCCTAAATAACTTAGCAAGAATTGTACGCACTTTAAGTCAACACAGGAAAACTCAGAACTTCTCAACACTCGAGTAATTTGCGAATTATTAGAAATTCGAAATTTCATATTAGACGACCTGATACAAACACAAGACGAATTCCAGTGACTTGAAATACAGGTTAAAATATTCCATAACCTCGCACAAAAATTTCTAAACTGAAGTGTATTGTTTTAAATAAAGCACAAGTGTTAAGGAGGAATAAAATCGTGAAAAATTTACCTTTAAGGTACGTTTCCAGCTCTGCTGCATTCTGGGCGGCATTTGCGGTCCTCACCATGTGCAAAAGCGCTTGCGTCGACGACATATCCAGCATCGGTGGGAACACGGGGTTGCCAAACAAACTGTCCTGCTTCTGCTCTTTCGGGTCTTTGCTGGAAAGGGGTGAGGTGGTCGACACGGTCGATGGCTGAGGTGCACCCAAGGGTGCCATTAAACCGACGAAAGGTGTCGCGGCAGTTTTGAACGCCGGAAACCTTGGGTCTAAACCAGGAGGGTAGCCGTTCCTGGGCGAACTGAAGTAACTGCAAATTCGAACAATGCCTTTTGTTCATATTTAAAAATAAAAATTCAGGAAACTTTATCTGCTAATTCGATATACGCTATCGTCTAAAAGTTTCTGATCACTGTGCATTGTGAGGTACACAAAAATTTACAGAAAAGAGTTAGCAATCTTTACAATTTTTTATCACTCAAATCTCCGTACTGATTTCCACAATATCAATTCCAAATTTTTGGCCAGCAGAGTGTGCTTTAATCATTAACTATGGACACTCAGAGATGAGTCTGAATATTTATTCCACTATCACAATCATGTGAAGAATTTTGACAGTCCTTCGACTGTAATTTTGCTTTCCAATTAATAAGTGACGCACTATTTCCATTAAAAGGAAATTCCTAATTTTCTATGTAACAAAATAAACATACTGTTTTCACAAAGTATTGCAAAAAATTTTAACAAATATATATCATTATACAGGAAGGTATATTAAATTTATTTTTATGACACAATGATTTAATAAATAAAATTGCAAAGTAGTCTGTGGTAACATCTTAAAGACAGATGCCTGTAGTTAAAGCTTAAATTAAATTGAAATACTAGAGATTGTTATACCATAACTGAAACAAACGAAAATTACACACGAAAATGAATGAAAATTAATCTGCAGAAATATTTAAATTTCAGTTATATCGATTTTTTTTAGATACACTAAGAATCAACTATCTCTCCATTATTTCAGTCGAAGCTATTAAAAACTCTCAGTTACAACTCGTATCCATAAAATGTCATTGGTATTGTAGTAGTATCGAAGCGTTTTCAAACGAGACATAATTTACAGCTGGCAGTCTCTATCAGTTCTAGTCGCAAATTCATTATCCCAAGATTTATGATTTTGCAACATAATAAAAGTCAGTATTATATGCACACAGTTGGCTGTAACTATATTGCCTCAGATAATTGGACAAAAACAGACAATTCTCAAATATCAGTGACAAATATCTTATTTGTCGAATAAGTATCCTGATCAACTATAAGATAGTACATCTTCCCTCCTCAAATTCAACTATACTAGGTAAGTACTTACTATCTATATTCATATGGAACTTGATTAAACGGTAAGATACTGGAAAATTGACACACAGGCGTGAAGCCAAGTAAACCTTCGAGCTTTAAACAACTGGAACACGTCATTAGCAAATTCTCTCCTCGGAGTCTAATATTTAAAGTATCCATTTGCTCATATTATTCTCATAACTCTAATTTAACACTGAAGAATCCTACATTATGAAAATGAACAACACGAAAAGTGAAAATAAGAACCTAAGTGCAAATCGTAATTCAAATTTTTAGCTAAAGTGATTATTTTTAAAAATAGTTAATCGTTTATTCTTCGCCTCAGCTTGAAACGCTAGAAGAAAATCACGTGATCCATCTCAACAATCCAAGACTTTATTGTCACAAGCTCTAAATTTATTAACAGTGAGAAAACTAATAAAGAAAAATTTTTAAGTGCTAAGAAAATATTTTTAGGCACACACATGTTCAGAGTATTTTACCAATTTAAAATGTACACGTTAACACAGCATTTAGCACTATTACCGAGCGAAAATATCTTTCGAAAATTTGAAGCTGTCCTCTTTTTGCACCAATTTGCTCAGAATTCCTTTTTACATTCAGTGTCCAATAAGTATAACTCTCATTCTAAGAAAATTACAGAGATGCCTCCTTTTAGAGCGGAGTCTTCAATTCCAAACAAGTCCCTCACAAATTCAATCGCTTTTCCCTGCCTTCTGATCTGCCTCTGACACATCCTGCTCATACGTGGAAGGATGCGGAATATATATTTATTCAGCGAATTGGAACGACGTGCGAGGCACTTTCTCCTCGAAATGCCACAGATCGCAAACGTCGCGAGGATCTGCGGCATCCTCATCACAGATCTACACGGTGTCCTCAAAACTGGTTGTACAAATTTAACAGGGGTGAATCTTCATGAAAAACTGTAAAAAAAATGTGGAGTAACATTTTCTCGTACGAAGCCTCATTTCCGAATAACTCGATGCTGAAGTTTCGAGTACGTGCGCACTTATGTACACTTGTCTAACAAATATCATTGCAGACTGTCTACACTCTATTTTTTTTGCATTCATCACATTATGCAGTGAAGGATAACCAATGAAATAAAAGTAAGAACAGACGTCCATACTGAATTGGACGTAATAGTAAAATAGCTTGGCTACCAAAATTTTTGTACTTGACACTGATGGATTTTCCCTCATGGACCCACGTCTCTTGTGTACCACGACGAAAATGCAAATAGAAAACAGCTCAAAGAGACAATTATTCCTGCATTGAGACAGTTACAAACTGAAAACACTGTAAAAAAAAATTCACAAAATTTTAAATACACCAGCACTCACGAAACTTCAACATCGATTCATTCGGAAATGAAGCTTCGTGGGAAAAAATGTTACTCTACATTTTCCACTTGTTTTTTCATGTACATTCACCCAGCTTCATATTGCACCACCCTGTCATGAATTCCAATTTTCAGGTTGTATCACCACTTCGAGGACACCCTGTACGTTCGTGACCGATCGTCAGGGTACCATCTGCCCGACCTAGACCACAATACCGGATGCTGCACGGTTGAAAGTCGACGTACACGTCCGCGAAGCTGCAACCTGTCTCATGAGACAATATTGCACGGTGCGTAAAGGACACTCTGTCCACCGGGAGAGCATCAATATTTCAAGGCGTGTAACAAGACGATCAATATTTTCCCTTCCCCGTGCGCCAGGCTTTGTGCGGTGTCCTCGTTGAGAATCGCTTCTTACGCGTTTCCATCGTTCCCACGTATGCACACGGAACATCGGGGATCGCATGAAGAATGTCAAGGCAAGCGTCATGTCTCTCAAGGTCTTATGCTCTTTAAATAATACCGGATGGCGTTAGTTGCGGCTGCTGCGCTCCATTCGAGAGTGTACAATTCTTCGAGCTTTGTTTGAAAGTGTGATTGGATGCGGTTTCCTCTGCGGCTCCGAGAAGATTTTTATTGCTTGCTCCTTTGATATTGCTTGGGACACTGCGTTGGATTGTCGGACCATGCAGATAATTCCACCGTTTTTTAAACAAACGACGAAGTAACGCTATTGTGAAAATTCGCTGAAAATTTTCCTAGACTTTTAATAAACTAGAACGATTTTACTTTTGGTAGGACCTGTGAGCTGAGCTTTTGCAGAATTGCGACTAATTTGAGCCAAATTTTAACACTAGGAAGTGTCAAGCTGATGGAAGGTTTAATTTCAAATTTTAAGAATTTTATTTATTCGTTACAATCACTAAGTGCAATTATTTTCTAATTATTGGAGGGCCCGCACAAGTTCAAAATTTCCTGGAAATTTCTTCACCCTCCCTTAGAATTCCTACAATTAATAAAAATAAATACCCCTCTTGTTTCAGGAAACACAGGGTTTCTATCAACTACCATTCATTTATGCACTGCAATAGGTAATTTCATTGATGCATTCGACAATTGTCGGTCCAGAGAAAGGAGACGAGAGTTGCTCGAACCACGATTAACAGTTCGAAATAGAGGGGTAGTTCGAAAGGAAGGTGAGGCTCTACTCACTCATTAGGGTTGGCGTTGTTGTACTTGGCAGCGAGACTTCTCATGAAATCGCTATAATTCCGTCCCATCATCTGCTCCATGTGTTTGAGGTGATGGGGTGGTGGTGGGCCCTCAGGTCCACCCAAAGGGGTAGCATTTGGCGGCGTTCCTGGATGGCTAGACGACGAGGGCGTCACGCTCCTTGATGACGTTGAATTATTGTCTGGAGTGAGGCGTTCTGTTTTAACCTGCAACCAGAAAACAAAACACACCTTCTTTAACCCTATTCTCAGAATTCAATGAAAATGTTTTTCTTTTTTTCAACACTTTTCAACGCTTGATATTTCTATCCTCAACTTCAACTCGGTAACAGTAAGTGTGTCATTCCGTAAACGTAGAAAAACTTGTATTCAATTATGCTCAACAAATGAACGTGTCTACTTCTGTTAAAGCTACGTGAAATCTATTTTGCACGGATAATATAATAATAATGCAGTAATAAATCATCGAATGTGACGTTGATCGAGAAGAGAATTTCTTCTAACAATTTATGTAATCAATTAAGTAATAAATCACCGGTAAAAAAATTTCAATTATCTTCATACTCCGTTGCAGTGATAGGTCCGAGCAAAATATTCATTTTAAATAGATAAAGGCATCGAGATGACTTCCTCCTTTAAATCACACAATTCTCTTATGAACAATTTTTCTTGAAAACCTGTTCTCCCGTGATATTACCTTCGCGGTGTAAAATACTGTTAACTCTGTTCACAACTAAATAAATATGATATTGGAACTATCGCACAATATCAACTAATAGTTAATTTTAACCCTCAACACCCGAAGAATTGCTTCAAAATTCTAGTCGAAAAACGCTGAAGTATTTTTGGTCCACTTAAAGTATCCAATATCAAAGAAATTAACCACAACAGCTTCAAATTTCACATTTCAATCCATATCTAAAAATACATAATAATAAAAGAACACGACAAATACAATATTTTCATTAAAATATACAAAATTGCTTCTCTTCGCCTTC